AGAAGGGTGGAATTTTTCGTCGTAAAAAAAAAAAAAAAAAAAATGCGAAGAACGATGAAACGTTTCAAAAGGAGACAAAGAATTTATTTCTGCTAGGTATCCGCCCATGCTCTTCGCCTTGGAAAATCCGTGTATTCATCAAACGTACTTTGTTAACGGGTATCCACACCGTCATAAAATTACCCGAGCGGAAATCATCGCCGGTGTAAATCAAAACTGTGGAAAATATAAATTTAATTTCCCACGGCCTGTGTATTCGCCTGTGTGCGGCCAGAATTAACACTCCTTTTATTAAATGTAGACCAACTTCCGTGAAGCGAATTTAATACTGTCACGGAAGTTTCAACGTTGCGTTCTGTTCCATTTAAAAGGAAGTTCTCCACGTTTGCTTGAACAACCAAAACCAAACGATTCACGTGCACATTTTCCACTTGCGTTACACGTTCTTCTTTCATTACAGTTACACCCTTGTAAAGGGGGTTTTTCGTTACTATTTTCGTTACTAGCTTTCCCCGTAGATAACGAAAGAAAACGCGATAAATTCGTGATTCTAAAATGTGATTAAGCTTCTCTTCGTTAACAAGTCCAGGAAAATTAGATTATTAGAGCGTTGTGCGTAAAGGTAAAGGTGTGTAATTATACCAGAGAATTACAAGATTTACACGAAGTTATTTCCTGTAAGACTTTCAGGATTTTTATTTCGAGCCTTCTTAAATTGAATACACAATCGCTTATTTTGAAAAATAAATCTCTTCACTGTATTTATTTCAGAATTTCTTTACATTATCCTTTCTTATTTATATTTTGATCTTCTACAAAATGTAGATACGATTCAACATCTGTATCGAATCATCATAAAACTATATGCGACTAATAATTCCACTATTTAAATTCAGTCCTCATCGTTTTCCACTATAACAATAAGAAAATCGATTTCACGATACAATTTATATGCAATACCGATATTAAAATATATATCATTTTCATTTTTGTGTTCGTGTCGCTATAAAAAAGAATAAAGTCCAATTTTTCTTCCGTCTCTTTCCTCCTTTCACGCGCTTACTTATTTTTACAGTTTCTATATCACTTCCGTATATAAGCGGGAAAGCTTCTCTTAACCCTTTTCGCTTGCGAATTCCTACCATTTTTCCCTTGTTTGCATAAGCGTGCGCTATCTTACGACACTACATTTTCACATTTTGACTTGCTGATAAAAAAAGAAAAAAGAAAAAAGAGGGAGGAAAGCGCCTCAGTTTCCGATGCTCGTGTATACTCGAAGCAATAAAATGTCTCCAGGAGATGGGTTTTTCTTTTTTATGAACAATTCGGAGATGGCGACATATGCAACGAGATTTTTCTTCGCCTCTTTTACGTTTTAAGGCCATATAAATCGCAATATCGAATACGTTATCCGGGTTACACCCTACTCCACGATGCATTTTTATCTTTTTTCCATTTTTTTTTTCCTTTTCTTCTTTTTTTCTTTTTTTATGTGGTCGTGGCAAGACCACTTTATATTGGCTTTTACTCTAAATTTTAGGATGAAATTTGGTTGGGAATTTCTTTTTAATCGATTTTTCGTTTTTATGTCGTTAATGGCGGATTAATTGAAGTAAAAATTTGTTTCCTATGAATTTTTGAATCTTTCATTTTGTATATTTTTCCTTTCCCCCTTTTTTTCTTTCCTTCTTCTTTTTTTCAGCGGTCATATTTTCTTCGCGTTTCGTTGGGAAATGAACGTTTGAATCATTTATGTATGTATGTATGTATATATATCTGAATGATGGAAGAAGGTTGGATTATTTTTAATACATCCTGTCTCGATTATTTTTTAAACGAATATACCATGTAGAAGAGAATTTTAGGGAGGAAAAAAAAAAAAAAGAGGAAAGTAGCAGTGAAAATTGATTTTAGCTTGGACATATCCAGCCTTTCGGGTTAGCATATTCATAACTGACTCCACTATGTACATTGCCATCAAACATGCTATCTATCAAAAGTTTGGAACTCCTGTCGAAACTCTCTTGCTACTCTGAATATGATTCAGATATTGTGTAATAATATATACCAATAAAATTATTATTATCGATATATTGGCTCCAATATTAAACTTCTTATAACAAGTGAAAAAATCGAAAAAAAGACTTACCTTAAAAATATTTCTCGGCCGTCCCTCGATGATTATTTCTACAATTTTCATTTTTTTACACCAACAAATCCTTATTTGAAATTAAAAATATCCATTTTATTTCTCCTCTAATTATTTTATACAAACGAAGGAAATATTTATATTTTAAATCCATCGACAATCCAATAATAATACGAAAATAAGACTCGAGTAAGTTTGAAAAGAAAATCATTCCAAGAATTCGCTCCCTCTAAAATAACAAGAGTGCAAAATCGCGAAGAACAAATCGAATTTAATCGCGATTCAATACCCGAGCAGCAATTAATTAATCGAACTAAACTCGAATCCCCTCTAAAACAACAGAATTTCCCCCGATCCCGGGTATACGTACGCATCTCCTCTGAAAAGGAAATTTCTCGTTGGAAAAATCGGCCGGCTAATTAGCCCAGTGTGCAATAACGATAGGGATCCGCCGATTGGATCGATCGCCCCGCCATGTCGGCCCGGAACACACATCCGTTGACCGTGAATAAAAGGGAGAGCAATGCGAATGATAATTAACCGCTTCGCAAATATTCGCTCCAGCTTTACCGCATTCCATAAGCCAAAAACTTGGATACAGCACTCGACGGTTCAAAGTAAAGCAAACAACGCGCCCCACCTAGGTAAGGGGATTCACGTGTACCTCGCGTAATGAACGGGGAGGGGAGGGGGTTGGTATCGCGAAATTGCACCGATTAATGGATGGTACAGCGGTTCCCCTAATCAGCAATTCGTCGACTGTTGTGATTTTGTCGTCCAGTTTTATTCTTCTTCTTTTCTTTCGTCTTTTTTTTTTTTTTTTTTTTTTTATTGCCCATTCCTCAAACAGAATGAAAAACAGGGGCTGGTTGGGGTTGGCCGCGTGGCTGGAGAATGGCTACATCGGTCACAGAGAATTTCGAGGGATTTTCGAAAACACGCGTGATTTAAATGATACCCGTGTAATTTCATTGCATTGTTCGTCAACGATATTTGTTACGCCCGGATAATTAGCCCTTGGCCGTTCGTGCTCGTTCCATTTTTTTTTTCCGGAAATGGAATTGGAAAGTTTGGAATTTCGATGGATGAAATTTTTTTTTTTTTTTTTTTGACACCTCTTTCCGGGAATTTGGAGATTCCATTTTACAGCACGGTCCATTGTCTCGAATCATGACGAAATTTTTTTGTTCTTTTTTTTTTTTTTTTTCTTTCTTTTGTGACGGGGAAATCGAACCGAGCGATCGGTTGACAAAGTATGGTGAACAGCTGTCCACTTTTAAAAAAGAATTAAAAAAAAAATATTGTAAAATTATTGTTTCGATTTGACGTTGAAGAAATAATAATTTAAAAATTGATACGATATATTTATATAATAAATAATAATCATCGGATCGATAAATCTTTATTCCAATTTCTTTATTCGACGAAAAATAGTTATTTTTTAATATAATTTATCGATCTGATCGATGTATTATTCATTTTATTAATCAAATATCAAAAAAATAATATGATAATACTTACACAAAATAATAATAAAAATTTAGATTTCAAAATCTAAAAATATATCGCTCATTTTTTTGTTCTCTTTTATCAGATCTGAAATATACACCAAACGATGCAGAATATTTTTTTTTTTACACATATTACACGTAACGGTTAAAAAATTCAAAAATTGAGTTTGCCCCTGTGTTGCAAGGTGCTCAATTTCGCGTATTTGCCGATTCCTCCAGGCGAAAACGAAACAAACGTATCCCTCGTGTTTAATCATCTGCCTCCCTTCTTCCAACGTCATCGTCCATCGAGTTACCGGTTTAATCGTTACGACTCTCCTGGGAGATCGAAAAAAAAAAAAAAAGATAAAGAAAAAGAAGAAGAAGAAAAAAAGGGAAAAAGTAAATTAGGCTATTTTCGCAGTCAAGTTCGCGCTCAATTCATCGAATGAATGGGATGCTTGCGAATCGTTCGTGAAACGGTACACACGCGTTTAACCCTTTCACTCTGCGGAGAATTGTTTGCTGATGGCTGACGGAAAATCGATAATCCTTATTTAGGGACAATTGTGCGGGAATGGGGAATTTCGTACGAATGTTTATAAGGGGTGAATGGGATTAAAGGATCGGGGGTGGGCTGGGAATTTTAGATTAGGAGGAGGAGCGTGTGTGGTTTTGCGTATGATCGAATGTTGTTGGTGTTAGAGAGAAAAATAATTTGGAAAAACA